ACTGTAGCAGCTACGACCTTGACTTCTCAGGACTGTAGCAGCTACGACCTTGACCTTTCAGGACCCCTACAGGTACGACCTCTACAGGGCTGTGACTCCTACTCGACAGACCTACAGATCGAACCCCTACCACTACACAGACCTACGACAGACAACAACAACTGTCAAAACACAGGTCACGGGTTCAAACACTCGGAGTCGACACAGATACTGTACACAGGTAAGGTGAGATCTAGGGATCGAGCCCTGGGATCTGCATTCGCTACTGCTAAAAGGTGAAAACCGTTTCAATTTTGTTAAGCCAAGTGAAAAGGACGCTCTCTTTTTTTTTTTTTCTTTTTTTTTTCTGGGCATCTGATGGTCTGCAGTCCCATGGTGGTAAGAGAATCAACGGGGTTGAGGCCTTCTTATGGCCGGCTCCGTTCGGATGGCCGGGAGCTGCACCTGCTGGAAACTGGGTCCAGCGTCCCTTATACTAAACCATGCAACTGATTTACTGGGAGCATTACCCAGCTTCGCTTAGTATGAACTCTGCAGCCGAACCTCTCAGCTCTGGGGCTGCTTATCTACTCTACCCTAGCCCATAGCACTGCTGCGCAAATACATCACTTTTTTCTTAGAAGGGGTTTCATAATGTTAGGATTCCGTCAAGATCGGAAGTCATGATCTGTTCATCAACAATTACATGTATGTACCTTTATGCGGTCAATTAATGATGTCAGTGAGTGCATAAGGTAAAATGCTCTACTGTTGGAGAATCAGTCATAACCCTTCAGTGGACCTGTGAAATGTTATCTATGTGACCGCTGAGACCTTTTTAAAAGGATTCACCCATCTTAGAGTCCAGTCTGGGATCTGATCCCGAAGTCCCAGAGTTCTTTGTATAATAGTTCCATCTGGTAGGCCAGGTGATCCGGTATGCCTGGTCCATACATGATGCCCAGTACGGCTTGTAGGCCTTACCATACAGTAAGTCCTGGAGGGTATATAGTCCGGTAGCCCCAAGTTGTTACGGAGTCCAGTAGGTGTCAGTCCGTCAGTCCGTCAGTCCAGTTGCAGCTCAGTCCCAAGAAAGTTCTTGAAACCCTGGATGCGTTGCAAACCGACTGCAGGTGGCAAGTAGGAGAACCATTCAAAAGTGGAAGCTTGGGAACTGCAGCAGAATGTCAACACAGGAGCACTTTTGTGGTCTTGTGTAAACGAGCATCGAGTGAGGCTGGAAGTAATCTGTAGTTGACGGCACCCAGTGCCATAGCTTAGTCAAGAAAAAGAGACAGAGAGAGGGATGGACATCAAGGTAAGAGGGAGATTCACACACACACACACACACACAGATAGATAGATAGATAGATAAATAGATAGAGATAGAGATAGATAGATAGATAGATAGATAGATAGATAGATAGATAGATAGATAGATAGATAGAGAGAGAGAGAGAGAGAGAGAGAGAGAGAGAGAGAGAGANNTGAGGGTGTTTTAGAGTTCGAGAGAGAGAGAGATACCTGTTGGAGGCTACCAGCGGCCATAGCTGCCCGAGTGTACATTCACAAAACTTTGTTGTATAATACTTGTGAGCAATGTCCGAAGTGGTCTCATATCATGTGAATTTGCATCACGTCTCTATAGCTTTGTCTGTGAATTGTGAGCTTGGATGTTATACAAAGTTTTTTGTAAGCGTGAGATAATTGCAGCTCAGTGAAGTCAGGCATCTGGGGGCAATTGCCTGGAGCCCACTGCCCAGAGAAGGCTTGGGGGGTAATCACGGGATGCTGTTGAACACTTCGTTTGGCTAGATGTTTGCTTCCAGGAAGGATGAAACACTATCTAAATTTGAATGTGGTACCGGCTGAGTTTTGCAATGTGTTGATTGAACGCCTTGGCCTTGTTGCAGTTATGCTTTGGTATGTGTGGAGTTGCAGAATACAGGACATGATGCATACAAGCATGATGTGTATGGTGACAAAATAGTTGTGGAGAGGCGGATCTTGGACAGCGGCACTAGCACATTTGCTATTCGAGATTGTAGAGGTAAGAAGCATTGAGGGCTGTCAACGCATCTGAATCCATGATTCCCCCAAACCCAGAACTCCGAACAAAGACTCCCAGCGTCCTCTGAACCCCTCTTCTGATCCAAAAAGCAGCAGCGGGTGGACCTCATCTGGCCCGCTGGGCCCAAGTGGAACCGAGACCTTGCTCCACTTGGTAGGTCTACCTCAACGTGCACCATTTTTTTTTCTTTCTAGACTGGCAAGACTCTCACTGGGCTGTGAGGCAAGAAGTGTGTTGCCCTGAATCGTGTTTTCTTCCCCCCCCACCTTCTCCACCCAAAAAGATGTGGCTTGTCATGCAGACATGTGCCAGATCACGTTTTGTGAGGGTTTGAATATCTGCTCCACTTTTAATTTCAGTAACAAAAGTGGGCTGCTAGGGAGGCACACCTCATCGCACACCAAATCATGTTTTTTTTTTTTTGACTGCCGACGCAGTCCTTGCACTCCAAGCTTTGTTCTGTTTCACGTCTTTGCCACATTTGTGGCCCTTGGATCTTCATCTGGGCGGCGGCTTTTCAAAGTTATGTTTTGTTTAATAGCCACGTCGTGGGCCATATTTGGTGGGCACAGTTTTTTCTCTGAAATGTCTCCGATGGTTGCTTTTGGACATTTGATGTGTTTGCATCACGATGCC